AGTTCGAATTAAGTGGCTACACAGCCCTTAATTCGAACTAGTTAATTCGAACTAGGCATTAGTCTTCGTAGAATGAGGTTTACCTAGTTCGAATTAAGTGCTGCGCTAGTTCGAATTAAGTTCGAAATAGTGGTTTGTATGTGTAGCGCCTATGAAAGTTAATTCGAACTAATGTCTGTTAGTTCGAATTAACTTTGTAGTGTAGACATACCCTTAGAGATCAACCAAACTATCTGCCAACAAAATATAAACAAGTGCTTCTAAAAGCTCTGCTTTTACGCATAGTCAACCTCTGGAACTCCTTGCCAGAGAATGTGGTAAAGGCTAGGACTTTAACAAGGTTCAAAAAAGAGCTAGATAGAATCATGGAGGTTAGGTCCATCAATGGCTATTAGCCAGGATGGGTAGGAATGGAGTGCCGCCAGGTTGGTCCCGTAGTGCTGCCCCTCGGGGATGCGGGACCAACCCGGCAGCACCCCATCTGTCCCCGATTCAGCCTCTGCTGAAACTTACCAGCAGCTGACTCCAGGAAGCCCAAGACAGAGCTGCTCTGCCCCGCTTCCTGGAATCAGCCCCTGATCAGTTTCAGCAGCAGCTGACTTGGGGACACCTGGGACAGAGTAGCTGGGGTGCTGCCGGGTTGGTCTCACAGCACCAAGGGTCAGCGCTACCAGACCAACCCGGCAGCACTCCAAATGCTCTGCTGCAGGCGTCCCCAATTCAGCAGCTGCTGAAACTGACCAGCAGCGGCTGAATCAGGGACGCCTGGGGAAGAGCCAGACTATTGGAAGGGGGGGGGGTGGTCTGATAATCCGGCACTCCCTAGGTCCTAAAAGTGCCAGATTATCAGAAGTTTACTGTATATTTAAAAGGCTGAAGTGCAGCAGGAGGGACCCAGCGCAAGCTGGGTATCAGGTGTCCCAACTTGCACTGAGTCCCTCCTCCTGCACATTAGACTTTTTAAGTGTATTAAGGGCTGACAGGTTCTTAATACATTTAAAAGGAAGAGCTGCAGCAGGGTTAGCTCCTGGATCAGGAGCTAACCGTGTTGCAGCTCCCCTGCTTATCGATTAATCGACTAGTCCAGGGGTGGGCAAGAATTTTTGGAGAAGGGGCCACACCTTGACTTTGGAAAGTGGTCAAGGGCCACACTTTTCTTTGGAGGGAGTGCGGGATCTAGGATGGAGGTTGGGTGAAGCAGAGTGCACGGGGTAAGGGACTGGCATGCAGGAGACAGTGTGGGGTCTGAGAGGGAGTTTGGGTGAAGAAGGGTGTTGTGACATGGGTCAGGGGATTGGAGTGTAGGGTCAGGGAATATGGGTGCAAGAGAGGATTCTGGCCTGCAGGAGGGGCTCTGGGATGGGGTGCAAAGTCTGAGAGGGAATTGTGACTAGGGAGACAGGAGAAAGGGGGTGAAGACTGCAGAGGGTTTGGATGGTGACTTGGGGGAGGGAGAGGCAGGGATGCCAGAGGCAGGCTTTGGCTGGAAGGTGCTTACCTAAGAATCTCCCAGCCTGCAGCCCTGCAGCACTCCCAAGGTAGGCTGTGTGTTGCAGCACTCCTGCCTGCTGCAGCCCCAGACTGCTTAAAACTACAGGCTGTTCCTTCCACGTGGCTCTCAGCTCCAGGAGGGGGAAGAAGTTTGTTGTGCTCCCATTGCCCAGGCTAATCTCTCAGCTCCTATTGGCTGGTTGTTTCCATCCAATAGGAACTGAGAGATTGGCTGGAATCAGTTCCTATTGGCTGGTTGTTTCCAGCCAAGAGGAGCTGAGGTTTGGGCTGGGGGTGAAGAGATCACACAGAGCAAAGAGCCTCATGGAATGTGCTTTAAACTGTGGCAGCTGTGTTCCTAACGGTCCTGGCAGGATGGTCAACAGGAGGCTGGATCTGGTGGCTAGGCAGACCAGATCTGGCCCCCAAGCCGTATTTTGCCCAGTCCTGGTCTAATCGATAGAAAATCCATTGACTGGTCGATTAGCTGGTTAAACTAAATTTAACATCCCTAATCTGTAAAACTGTGTGTATGAATAGGTGTATATATGTGTGGTGGAGAATTTTAGTAGCTAGGGACAGTAAATGCATTCTGCATGCACAATAAGCACAGCATATTGCCTTATCCTCCTAACAAGATTCTGCTAATTCTATTTCTCTAAGTGTAACACTGAAACACAACAGCAGGAGGGGAACAACAGAAGACAAGTGCTTCTACCTCTAGCAGATCTTATTCTTTTGACCAGAAGTCCACTTAGTACAAACACAGTGGGGAGTACTGGTTGAGATGCTACTGGATCCCACTGAGCAATAAATTGAGAAGTAGGACAAAATTGAGGAAGAAAGAGCAAAATAGAAAAGAAGGGGAAAAGGAATCAAAGGGAAATAGAGACAGATGGGAAAAGACCCCGGGGGTAGTGTAGACGCTGGTATAGTTTTGTCGACAAAAGTCCACTTTTGTCGACAAATCTAGGTAGTGTAGACACACCCTAAGTGTAACACTGAAACACAACAGCAGGAGGGGAACAACAGAAGACAAGTGCTTCTACCTCTAGCAGATGTTATTCTTTTGACCAGAAGTCCACTTAGTACAAACACAGTGGGGAGTACTGGTTGAGATGCTACTGGATCCCACTGAGCAATAAATTGAGAAGTAGGACAAAATTGAGGAAGAAAGAGCAAAATAGAAAAGAAGGGGAAAAGGAATCAAAGGGAAATAGAGACAGATGGGAGGAAAACAATACAAGAAGGGAGAAAACGAAGGCAGAATTAAGGGATCCAGGTATCATAAGGTGACTGGCCCCTTTTAGGAGAGATATGGCCCCAGTGCATGGCAAGGCCTAGAAAGAGACTGAGAATGGTACCCCCAGGAAGTTGGCATAAGGGCTGAGAGCTGTAACACAGAGACAGAAAGACTCTCAAAGCTCCAAAAGCATCTGGGAACAGAGCCATGAGGATGGGCTGAAAAGAAGGCTTTGAAGGACAAAAGAACATTTCAGCTAGACTTTTACTACTCCAGCAGGGGTTAAGTTTGGTTTGTGACTTGGCTGAAGGCTAAGTGATATCTCTAGCACAGTGACGTCTCACGCATATTGGAGAAGAAAATAGGTAGGGAACATCTGCCACGCCACATCTGCCAGCAAAAGGTGTCACACGATAAGCACCCTCCTATGACTTCTGGGAAGAGGAGAAGCCACTAAAGAAAACAGGGGAAGGTCCCAAAGGAATGATAGGGGAGTGAGAGAGTGTAGAATGGGCTGGTATACTATGGAAAAAAATGGACTGGAAACAACTAGGAGAAGAGGTTGACGTCAGAGGGTCAGGGTTGCAAGAGAGGGGACACAAGAATAAATACGAATAAATAAGATATAAGAATAAATAAGAATAATAACTGCAAACATAAAATAAATAAACCTCCATCTTTCTAATGTCTACTGAGAATGCTAATGATACAAAGACTTCCGGGGCATTCTCCCCTTCCACCACTACCAAGAAGAGTTATTGACTCGAGTCCCATGACTTGAACTTGAGTCCGACTTAAGTCGCCTAGGTGACTCGACTTGAGACTCGACTCAGATTCATTATTTGTGACTTGAGACTTGACTTGAGACTTGCTAATTTTGTTAAATCGACTTAATGAAAAAATTGTCCAAAAACGCCGATATTGATGGCTTGTACAAAAGTGACTTGACATTTTTTAAATTAAGACTTGAGATTAGACTTGGGACTTGACTCGAAAGTGACTTTAGGGACTCGAGAGTCAACTTGAGACTTGAACTGTAGTGACTTGAGACTTGACTTGGACTTGACAATGACGACTTGAAGACAACACTGCTACCAAGACATAGGCACTGGTGCCACAGGAAGCTTGTCCAACCCCAAGATCTTTGGCTAAGGTTTCTCAAAACTTGACAGATGTAATATAGGGCCAGAGTTCCAATATTAGATACCTAGTCCATATATAAGCTCTGTATTTAGGCTCTGGTAGCAGGTATTCAGTTCCCATTTCAGAGAAGACTAAGCTTTGAAAAGTCTCCTAAAAGAATTTTAGCTTTCAAACCTCTCTAAGAAATGTAGTGCAAAATTTCTTAGACGGGGTATGTTCCTGCATTATTGTCAGATATTGACATTGTTCTTGATGCTTTCTAACACATGCATGAATTAAAGATGCCACCACACTAATCTTTAATGGAAAGGTAACTGTAATTCATTTATGTTAAGAAAGAGAAATGGAACAAAACGGAACTGATTAAAGCCACCAAGATCTGCCAGGGTCACTGATAAAGTAGAAATTAGTTTGAAGCTGCAAATGTGGCTCATAATAAAAATACATTAATCCAAGAGCAGGATGAGCTGTAAGATGTTGTTAAAAACTGTTATATGCAAATAATCAATATACATACCTCACTGACCAAGCAAATGGCATACGGTATTTCCCCAGCTTGCTGCAGAACTGTTTGGTGGATTTTAACACTTTTTGTGCACACTAGGTAAAAAGAAATAAATACCATTGGTACCATCAATATTGTCATTATGGTTATTGTTCTTTGAAAAAAGGCTTATTTCAAGCTGAAACAAAGAAGCACTCTGTGTACCAGAAATACACTTTAGGTGGCGTTTATATGAAGGGTTCACAAAATCAGAGCGGTGGAACACAGGTTCACTAGGAAACAATTGCACTGTGCTGGAGGTTTGCAAGGGATTGTGCTGGCCATTGGAGAGGTGAGAACAGAGTAACTAGGGGTGCCCTACTTGAGTACATCCTCTCATCAACCTCTGTTGGGGGATAACTATGGAGCTCCAGAAGAAATGCAGCCTTTCCTTCCCTCACAGGAGAACAGCAGCAATGGAAATACCATATATTCTTCGTGCAAACTATTCCCTTTCATGCTACCACGGCTCTCGTTTAAATTAACTAAATGGAGGGACTGATATTCTGGTGTCAAGGCTGGGATATCATAGTATATCCAGCAGATGTTAAACTTGGATTCTGACTTTCCTTACAATTTACGCAACCCTATTAAAATCAATGGGGTTTCATGGGGCCTAAGTCAAGGCAGAATTTGGCCTTTAGTGTACTGCCTATTAAGTATTTTGAATGGTGCATGCAAATCCAAATAGCAGATCAACAATAGAGTTTGAAATGGTACAGGCAGGCCAATAGAGGAAACATTTTTTGCTGAAATAGTTAAAAGAATAGGTATGTGTCAGGGAAATGTGTATAATAGTGGGTGCCTCTAGGTGTTTTCAATTTCAATATCGCTCTCCCAGTTGACTGAAATTAAATTTTTGGAAGCCTCTGATGAGGGGAGCTCAAAACTGCCGAGGCACTCTGCTGGATATACTATGTTCTAATCAGTATGGAGAGACTTGGTATCAGAATGGGTAAATATCTCTTTGGAACACAGAGAGCCCTTCTGTTTAGAAGATTGGTGACTGCAGAGCTGGTGTGAATTTGTGTACCCCCGCTAAATATCACACCTCTCAAATACAGTGCAGATGTACTTATAAAGAAGCCTCTCCACTCATGTGCACTGTGGAAGTAGATTGTATGCCTGCAGGGCCTAGAAGGGAGAACAGCAAAATAGAGACAATGGATTTTAAGGCGGCAGATTTTGGTAAGCTCAGAGAGCCAGGGCTGGCCCAAGCCCTTTTGGCACCCTGGGCCTGGACGTGCGGCACCGTCCCAGGGGCGCACGGTACATGCGCGTGCCGGCCATGGCCGCTGGTGTGCAGCCCGGAGCCTGCTCCCGGGGCGCACGGTGCGTGCACTG